TAGTGTGTGTGTGTGTGTGTGTGTGTGTGTGTGTGTGTGTGTGTGTGTGTGTGTGTGTGTGTGTGTGTTTATTTATTTATTTATTTATTTATTTATTTATTTATTTTGTTTTTTTATATCGTCGCATTGTTTAGATTATTGATCAAAATTTTATATTGAAAAACAATTTAAAAAAAAAGGCATTAATTTTTTTGTTTATAGTTTTTTAATTGCATAAACAATTAATATTTTATCAGATAATAATTCTTATAAAAATTATGACGATTTCCAAATATATATTGATATTACTGTCATTGTATCATTCTTGCATTGCAATTTCGATTGTCTAAAGATTGTTTTATATTATATTAATATATATAGCATAATATATATTAATAAATTTTTATTTTTCTTCGGATCTACGAAATCATAAATCCATGAGAAAATATTAAATAATATATTTTGAATGACATTCGATGTATTTATAGAATCATAAATATAAATAATTCATATGTCACGCAATAAATATTCATCCTTATAGGAGAAATTTTATATAATAGTAACAATCTTTTTTATAAATATTTCGAAGACCAATAATTAGATGAATATTAAAAAATTCAAAATTATAATTTCTATAATATAACATAATATATTTAAAAATCATTAAAATTGGTAAGGAATTTTCTTATTTCAATAATTATCAAATATTGAAAATTATGAATAATTTTTTGGATAAATGCAATATGCATTCCTTAACCAAATGAACTGAAATTTTGAGAAATGGGAGAAAAAATTTTAAATATAAAATTTTGGTTTCTTTATTAGTTTCCAAGATATTAGTAAAAAATTTTTAATATAATACATTGAATTCTATCTATATGTCAATGTCTGGCAATATATGTTACAATGAATATTACTATTATTCTTGATATCTATTATTGTTTATTATTAATTATAATCTATAAGAAATTTGCATTCTAATAAATTTGAAAAATAAGTAATTTATAAATAAGTTTGATCTCTATTATGCTATCTGTTAAACATTTCGAACAGCATCTGTTGCGATGTGTTTATAGAAATAATGGATAAATGAACACATATTATTAAGTATATATATATATATATACAGAATTAAATATATCGTATCAAAAGTTTTTTATTAATATCTCGAAAACTAATAATATATAATTAATTAATATTAATATTTGATTGATTTATTAATATTCGAAACTAAAATTTTATATTTAAGATTCCTTTCTCTTTTATTCACTCAAAATTTTAGTTCGTTTGGCTAAAACATGTATATAATAACGTTTTTTAATTTTTTAATCAGGGACAGTACTGTATCGTACAATATAATATATTACTAATATATTAAATGCTAATGTAATAGCTAAATGCTAATATATTAAATCCAAATATTAATAAATTATGCTTATTTAATGTTATTACATTATTACATTAATGTTATTAAATGACAATTCATTATAGTCATCATCGCCAATTATTAAGTAATCGATAATATCTACTTACATAGAATATCCTATGTACAATCATTTTGTTATAATAAAATCTAAATTAGTTTTCCAAAAATTAAACATATTTAACTTACTAAATAATAATACAGTATCAAATACAAAAAAATCTAATTTGCAGATAAAAATATTTGACGTGCAGTATTAACATATACCATTATTTTGCTATTATTTTGAACACACTTTAAATAGAAATAATCCATTAGATTTGCAAAATAAACTAAAATAAAACTAAAATAAAAACAATTTTTGAACAACTGAAATTACAAAAATCATCAAAATTACAACGATAAATCAAGAACATTGATGCTGATATTCATTATAATTTCGATTGCTCAAGGATTATTTTATATTTTATTTTTATCTAATTCATTGATTAGATGTCAATAATAATTTCTATAGTGAAAATGATTATATTAGTTGCGAATTCAATATATAATACTGAAAAATTTTCATTAATGTTTTAGAAACTAATAAATATTCAAACTAAAATTTTATATTTGACGTTTATTTCTTTTCTATTTATCCAAATTTCATATCGGTTGATTACGTTTCCTAATTAATAATATTTTTCAAATATTATTAGAACTTTATGATTATTAAAGATATATATTGATTAATTTCGATATTATTCCTATATATCAAATAGTTATCTATTGACTGTCATTGACTTGTTATATTTCTGATACTTGATTGTAAATAAATTGATTATTTTTGATCAGAATGATATATAAGTATATAAACACTTGATATAAGTCACTAGTCAATCATATTTCGAGCAAACATAACAAAAGTGAAATTTTAAACTTTTCTTCAATGACAACAGAAATAAACGATCATGATTCACAATATATAATTGATCGTCATCATGACTATTTAAAGAATTTGCAATCTTCAAAAAAACGAATACCAATTGTACAACAACGCAGGTAATTCTTTCTCTCTTTTTTATTTTTCTAGATTTTTTAAAATTAGAAAAAGTAATCTAGAAATGAAATAAATAAAAGAAGTTAAAATGAAAAAAGACAATAAATAAATACATGAAAAATATGAAAAAAAAGATGAATTAAAAATATAAAGAATGAATTAATTAATTTATTCTTGAAATATCAATATAATTATATATTAATATAATTATCATTTTATAAAATTAAATCTTTGTATTCGTAGAGAACGATGGTTGCTCACTAATAATGCTAACGTGACCAATACAATTTGTAGTCGGTGTATACATCTAATTTGTTATTGGTATCATTTGAGGAATCATTCATCAACGCAAGAAATAATTCATAAACGCAATTCTAATTTTTCAAATAAATCGGAAAACAATATCGTTGATTGGTAATACCATTTAAATTCTATTTTTTTTCTTTTTTCTATTTAAATATCATAATCTTATTATTATCATTCTTATTATTATTAATTCCATTCATTTTATATAAAAAAACGGTAATACAATTAATTAAAATTCTTAATAAAAACAATCTATCAATCAATGAAAATAATGTTAATAATATTTCAATTAAAGTCATTTGCATTCGTTATTTATAACTTATTCCGTAAAATAAAGATATAACTACATTGAAATTAAATAAATTTATTATGTTTAAAAATAGGAATGGAAAGCATAATTATACAGAATTGGGTCACGGATCATCTATTTGTGAAGGTGTTGGCGAATGTATGGAAATGGAGAAAAGGTCCAGAGATCGTGCCTTATCAATTTGTCAAACTTATGTTTGTAGAACATCACGTTATAATTTCATTAAACAGCTAAATAATCTCGGTAAATTCGATTTTCTACATTTGCTAATTATATATATAAGATGTTTAAAAAAAGTAAATGGAAAATTTAAAGAATAATTCTAGAAATTAAAATTAAAAAATTGATATACAAAAATATTTATTAAAGCTTATTTTTTTATAAACAATTTAATTTTACTTTATTTTCATCCCATTTTATTTTCTTCTTTTAATTTTATCTAATGTGAAATTGTTTATGATTTTACAAAGATGAAGCTTTTGATTTCTAAAAATTAGACAATAGTTTAATATTTTTGCATTACTAACCAACTTTTGCATTATTAACTTTTTGATTATTTTAATTTTTAGAATCATTCTTTAATTTTATATCATGTCGTTCGAATATTTTATATAAATAAGCACATTAACATGACAACATAATATAAAAACATTATTATTATTTTTAAAACAAAGGAATTCAAATAATTTTTTTAATTTATAGGTTCTAGAATGGACAAACATTGGTTCATAGTCAGAGATACTTCTTTAAAAACCGATCGATTGATTACGTTAGTTCCATTGACTAAAAACTGTTCATTGAATATAACTCCAATGACGAAGAATATTTTGAATGAATTATTCTTAGCTCTGCAACATCCATACATATGCCCTATATTTGATATCGATTTTCTTGAATATGATAATAAAAATTATGTAATTGTAGTTCAACCAATAAGTCAAGGTAGTTTGAAAGATTTGATATATGGAGTAAGTAATCATAAGTTGAATAATAAACAAATTGAAAAAATAAATAAAGTACTTGGATGTTATATTTTTACATTGATTTATAGATCGAAAGAACAGGTTGGAATGAAGATTGGAATCAAAAATATAGTTCTCGTGGTAAAGGACTTCCTTTACCTCAAGTTCAACAAATGGGACGTCAAATACTGGAAGCATTAATATTCTTAAAAGAAAGAGGATTTCCGACTGTAATTCATTTGCATTCAGGAAATGTGCTCATTCAAAACGGTGTCGCACGTCTCGCTGGCCTTGAAAATACCCTTCTTGGTTTTACCAGTCGAATACATCCATTAATTATATCTCGAATATCACAAACTATTTCAATTGATATGACATGTTTTGGTAAGATCAATTTCGATTATAGTTTAAATATATTAATTTAAATATTTATCATCTTTCAGGTCACATGCTGTTTGAGATGTGCGCTGGTTATGAATTACCATCATTTAAGCCAAATTCCGTTCATCTATCGGATGTTGAAATGTATCCTCAAGTATAAATCACATTCTTTTTTTATTCTTATTTATTATTTTCTCTGTCTTTTTTTCTCTTGTTTACTTACTTTATTATTAATAATATTAGATTATTGCTCAATTTATATATATTTAATAAATTTATAAGAAATACTAATCAAATATTTACATTAATAATATTTAATTACTAATATTTTTTATAACAATAATGCATATAAACAATTGAACATTTAATAAAAAATTGGAAAAATTAGATGATCTTAACATATTAAAATATCAATCTTATTTAACCAAAATTATTGATTGAAATGTTTACGTATGCAGGTCATCGAGTTATTCAAATTCATATTTGATGAATTATCTAATCGTTATAAGATTATCGAGGAAATTCTTATTCATGATTTATTCAGAAATATTGATCTTCGTGAAATGCGAAGTGCTCCTGTTACGGTATGTGTAAATTCTATATTCTATAATACTTTTTCATTTTAAATTACAATGTTAATTTTTTTTATAGTTATTTCGTCCAATCTTAACGCCGCCCATTGTAAACTTTCTTGACAACATTAAACGACAAAATGCTAATAAGAGGTAATTATAATAGAACACTTAAATTATTTTTTCGTGTCTTTTTCCATATTTTGCTAAAAATTCGTTTTGCATGCACAAACAGGCAAAGATCGCGTTCTATAAGCGACGTCTATTTGACACGCAGATTTTGGTAATGACACGAAACATCTGATTAATTAATGTAAAATTCTGAAATTAATTTAACTTATTTTTTCCATATTACAGAATTATACATTTCAATAATGTCGACATTGATATGACATCTTTACATAGACGATATTCTATTTGTAAGAATTCTTTACTTGACGAAATCTACAACGAACTTTCGAATACAGTTGTATAATTATAAAAATATTTATTTTGTTAGTATTATTATATTCATATATTTCTTTAAAATTGTTCTAATCTCTATTTCTAATATTTCTAATAATAATTATTCAATTTAAAATTTAATATAAAAAAAAAATATTTAAAAATAAATAATAAATGAAAAAGAAAGACACAAGTATATATAAAAGATAAAAAAAACTGAAAAAAGACACAAATGTTACAAATGTAATATATTTTATTAATTAAAATATTAAAAGACAGTTAAGATACCTATGTCTGCGAAAAAAAATAGAAAACTGATAAAATATTATTTTATAAAAATCATAAATTCAATCTTTTTCGTCTCGAAATTTTTTCACATAATTTCTATTAGATTATATTTCTTCTTAACGAAATAACATACAAAATAAAAATAAATTAAAAAAAGAATTGTCGCGATGTTATTAAATATGTCAAATGTGATTATGCTTAATTTTTAAAAAAATTGATAAAAATGTTTTATACAATAATACTTTGTTTCATTTAATATAAATGTGTTTCTAATCCATAATAATACTCTAATATTTTTATTTTTTAAAATTAAAATGTTTTAATGGTTTAAATTGAAAAAAAACTACTTTTTTTTCAGTTGAAAATCATTTTACACTTGTTCTATTGCATAATACACAAAATTTTATATATAAACATAAAAATTTACAACACATTACAGAATCTATAGAAAAAAAACTTTTTGTATAAATTTATACATAATGTATATATCATATTAGAGTCAATGAAGTATCAATTATTTCTATAAAATATTGAATATTTATATGCAACACTTATTATGGAAATATATATGGAATTAATATACATGTATGTATATAAGCAGACATAAGATTGATAGTAAAAATAGGTATTATTGCTTCTCGATGATCTTTTTCGTTTAAATGTATAAATTCAGTTTAATTAAAATACCGATTTTTTTTTTAATCCTAAATGGGATTGATTTTGTGAACACACGTATATATGTGTACATGTTAGAAAATTTCAGTATGAAATAATTTAATCGGTTATTTTTGTTATACATTTTATGACGCGCCAGCTTCCAATTCACTCGCTGGTGTGTCCGGTTCCTCATCATTATAAATATTTTCCGCCATTTGCCATACTTGCATTATATTGTCCTCTGATACAGAACATATGACCCATGGTTCGTTAGGATTCCATGAAAAATCACTGATTTTAGCAGTATGACCACCATGAATAAACTATAACAAATATAATTAAATAAAATATTTTTTTTAATAAACTCTAACATTATTTATCAAAAATATAACGTTATTATATACCAGTAACTCAGGTGGTCCATCTTCAGCATCTTCACTGGATTGTTCTTCACCAATTTTACTGAGATCCCATACATGTAAACGTCTATCTGTTCCACTGCTAGCTAATATTGTCTCATTATGTGGGGACCATTGAACTTGAAAAATTTCATCTTTATGAGATTCAAAAGAATGTAATTTCAATTTAAGATTCCTTAAATCCCAAAGTGCTACTGTTTTATCAGCACTGCCAGTTGCAAGAATAAATTCTGAATATGGATTAAAACTCAAACAATTGACTTCAGCAGTGTGAGCATCAACTGTATGACTTGGTTTACTGGTATTATTACATCTAATAAATACAAAAATACATATTTAGAACTTCCAACCAATAATTGGAACTTCAACATAATAATATTATTTTTATCAATCATTAACATAAATATTTAATTACCTTGTGTCCCAAATCATTAATTTTTGATCATCTGCCACAGATCCAAATAAAGATTCATGCAACAAATGCCATGCTACATCTTCAACAACAGCAGTATGTCCAGTAAAAATTGTTTTTGCATCTATAACACGATTTTCTTTAGGAGGTGCATTAATATCCCATAAGCAAATTGTATGATCATCAGATGCACTGAGTAAATATCCATTTAAATTTGGATTCCATGACAAACCATAACCTTCTTTTTGATGTCCTCTTAATCTAATGTAAAAATATTAAAATCACAATTATATAATTGTATCTTCTAATAAACATATTTATATATTTACCTTAGATCAGGTTGACATTCACCATTAGGATCTGGCTTACTTGGATGTTTTGTATAATCAAATACAAGGACATCACTAGATGGTGTTTTAGTTGCAATTACACATGGATTTTGTGGCATATATCGTGCTCTATTTACTTCTCCTTCATGATTTATTTTTATTTCAATTTCTATTTTTCCACTAACAGAACCAAATCCTCCAAATTCTCCTTTTTCATTATCATAATGAGATGCATCAAATTGAGCATCTTCATTTGGTAATTGTACACTAGCTATAAGTAAATGATTTTGTTCATCCGAAGTATGAGTTCCCAAAATAAGACGATGTACTGAATAATCTTTTCCTTCTGGTCTAGTTACATCTGGTAACCATTGAGCAGTTAAAGATGGCCATTCCAAAGCATGTGTCATTACAAGATCATATAAAAATGGAGTATTTTTTTCCATATTTTATATTCTTCATTGATAACTCTTTCTTCTACAGCATCGTCAAAAGTTTCTATAATAAAATAATTTATTCAATAAGGTAAAGAAAATATTTAAGACATTAAAATTCACATAAATATTACAAATATGAATAAATAATTAAAAAATTTTCATGTGATATATAAAAAAAAATATTCGAAATAAAAAAATTGCCTAATTCTAAATATAAATATCTTTTACATTTATTATAGTTTTTTATAAAAATATTATAAATCAATTAGTGATTCAATCAATACATTTAAAAGAAAACGTGCTGTACAAGAAATAAAAAAATTAATATTTTAAATAATGAAAATCATATTCTTTTTGTGATATAATATAACCTATCGATGTAATTTTATTATAGATTATAGATTAGAATATAAAAATATTTTATACCATATGTAGATAGAAACTAAATATTATTGAGAAATTAAACAATATTTTAAATAAATTTTATTTCTCGTTAGAAATTTATTTCAAAAAATTCTGTCGTATCATAATATGAAAATGTTCTTTAAAACGATAAACAATTATAATTATAAAAATAATTAGAAAACGTAACAAAGTAATTAATATTATTCTTACCACCATCTTTATCTCCCATTGTTATATTTTAATAAAAATTCAATACTAATAGTATATTTAACCCGCCAAAAACCGCTAAATCTAGCCAGATTTCATTAAAAACGTAAGCGTAAGTAAAAGTACATACTTGCTTAAAAATGTATGCCGCGTTTTCATTATATCATTAAAAATTTTATGCGATACATAGCTTAACTTATATTTAATATTATATATTTTTATTTATATTTAAATATTAACTAAAATTGCGTAAAAAACTTCAGTTATTTGATATAATTTTTTTTATTTATATTTAATTCGATATCATAAAATTAAATTAAATATTAAAATTTATTAATGATTATATTATATTTTATTTTTTTTACATATTTTACATAATTATTACATAAAATAATAATAATATTAGATATAATATATATAATAATAATTATTATTATTTATATGATATAGATAATGATTTTCAATTTTATATAAAAATTATAATATTTAGCAGTGTTTAATAATTTAATTGAAATTCTAATTACTAAATTAATAAATATTATTAATAAATATTATTTAATATCTTCTGTATTATTGTAAACATTCAATTAAATAATTAATAGCAAAAGAGTCCTTAAGAAGTAATTATTGATATGGAAACGAATTTTACAAATATAATATAACAAATTGATATATTATTATAACATTAAAACATAAAAATTTTGTACATTTCAAAGGTTATTATTAACTTTTCTTAATTTGTTTGTTCTATATATTTTTAGAAAGTAAATTTGATTTATTGAATTTGCATAAAATCAGTAATAGTATAAATTTTCGTTTCTAACATTTAATTAAACAAAGTATAACAAGAATAACATGGAAGATGTCAATGCAAAACGAAATGCTAGAAGAAAACGAATTTTAGAAAATTCTGAGAAACGTTTATTGAAAATTACTGGCAAAGACGATAATAATAAATCAAAAGGTAACCATTAATCAAAATAATTATCAATCATGCATATTATAAAATTATTAAAATACTTTCATTTTATTAATATTGAAAGAACCGGTTAAAATAACAAATTTCATATTTTTTTGTTTTGATTATTGAAAATATGAAAATGTTTTTGATAAATTTATTAAAGTAAAAATTATATATATTTACTTTTTTTAAGGTATTGTTTTAATTACAATCATTTTATATATAAAATAGATACTACAATAGATACAATAGATATAATACTACAAACTGATTGTTCAAATATTAATATTCATTAATTTTTTAATTATTAAAACTATTTTATTCTAGCTCAAATCATTGTCAAAGATATACAAAAAGAATCTTCATCTTTACATACAAATAATGAATATCAGGTAACACATATATACATATATATATATATATATATAATTTTGAAATTATTTTTTTGGATAAACTTAATAATTCTAATATTATATTTAAAGGTATTGATAATACTTTTAATTGGCCAAAAAATTCATCACCTTTATTATTAACAAATCGTATAAACTATATATTATTAGCTATTATTGTTAACATATTATTAATATTGCAATTGGATCATTTATTTGGAAAGGTAATTATATATATATATATATATATATATATTATCAAAATGAAAATTGTATAATGTATTATATTAATGTGAATAATGTATTGTATTAAATTCTAATTGAAATATTACAGACAATTACAATACCATATTTTCCAATCATGTTGGGACGTCTATATAATTATAAAAATACACGAGAAATGCAAGAAAATAATTTATTATATACTGCTTTGATTTTATGCAATATCAATCCTGAATTATCTTATAGATTAAAAAAATTAGTAACAATAAGTCGTATGATACTTGGAGATTTAGCTTTATATATTTTTAGTTTTACATTAATACATTATGGATTCTTTTATTGTTTACATAACACAGATATTCCTATTACTTTAACTGTGTAAATTATATATGAATTATATATATATAAACAAATTATTTCAACTTTCTTTAAATCTTTTTAAAATATAAATATATCATATATTTAATTAAATTTTTATAGTATATAATTATAATAATAATAAACAAAATATAGAATATAATTCAATAAAATAAAATTTATTCTATCCTCTTGTTACATTTGTTTATTTAATTATATATTTGTTTAATGTTATATATTTTTAAAATTATTGTAATCATTTATGTTACTCATTTATATTTATCAAAATTATTTGCATATTTAAAAAAAAGAAAAGAATCTTAACAATTAATACAATGCAACATTTTGAAAGAAATTTAAGAATTTATTTGAAAATTTAAGCAATATAAATTAAAACAGAATATATAGGATTTTAAAATAAAATAATTATAGGATAATTTTGCAAAATTGATTCTAAAAATAAAAATAAATACAAAAATTAAAATATTAAAATTTAAAAAATTTATTGAATAAGATTTACTTATTTATATTATAAATAAATTTGCATAAATAAAGCAAGGCAGGAACAAAATTGTCTTATTCTTTTTTTTTTTTGTTAACACTTTAAGTGCTGCACAATTTAAGTGCTTATAAATAAATAAATTTCAATCGATATTTTGCATGCTAATTTTTATATTTATTTTAATTTCTAGAATGTAAAAACATATCTCATAAATATATTAATATTCCATAAAAAAAAATAATTTGTTTGTAGCACAATGAAAAATAAATGAAATATTTATGGAAAATAATGAATAATAATAAAAATATTATGAATATTATTAAATAATATTTTCATTGCAACTTGAATATCCTATAATGCCTGCTGATTTAAAACATATAGAGACTGTTATATTCTCTCATTAAATAAATAACTTTCTAAATACAAATTAATGTATTAAATTTAATATAAATTAAATATGAAAGAAATTTGTATATAAATTATCATGTTATCATTGCTAATCATAGTTAACTATTCAGGTAAAAGAATATTATAGTTAAAATGATAACTCTTTGATAAATTATTTAATAAATAGATTTTATATTCATTTTAATTTATTTATTCTAAATTTAATTTTATTTTATTTTTTATAAATAAAATATTATATAAATTTATAAATTCGTTTAAAATGTCACATATTTCATTAATTTTTAAATATAATGTATTTTTCTATAATTATAATATTTTAAATCAATGAATATTGTATATAAATTATTAATTTTTTATTATAAAAAATTTATATTATTTAATTTTTTAAGTGAAAATAATTAGTCAAATGAATATTTTAATATTTATTTTTATGTTCATTTTTATGAATGTTATATTTCATTAAAGTTTTAAGTCTTACAACATCAGAATGACCTGAATTTATCATTTCCATTTCCCATTTGTCTAAATCTTCTTTGTACTGAGACAGTAATTGCATAGTTTTACTGATATATGGTTCCTTCTCTACATTTGACAATTTACTCCAACTTATTGACATTGATTTTAACCAATCCTAATGAAAATAAAAAAATAATAATAAATTTATTAAATAAATAATAAAATAATTATGTTATTTTTTATATTTTTATTAATCATTAAATAAAATATTTGAATTATAACTGGAAATTATTTTGTCATACCTTAAAAGATATATTTGGATCTTTTTCATTTTTTTTTAGATATTATATATAAAAAATATGTATTGGTGGTTTTTTTGGTCTACCAAGTATTTTATATTTCTGTAATTCATTTTTAATTAGATTAATTAATAAAAAGTAAAAATATTAACATATGATTCGATATATTCATTATAAGTACCTGTTTATTAGTTTCTTTATATTGTTCATATTCTTTTTTTTTTTTTCTGATAATTCCTTTTGTTCATTAGTAAGAGAATTATTATATTTTTTTAATTCCTTTGTATATATTTCATAATTTTTTACATATTGTTTTCTAAAATTTTCCTTTTCAATAGGATCTAATTCTGCCCATCCTTTGGATGCCTTTTTCAATATTTCTGAATATTTTATATTAGATTCTTCTTGTTCGATTTTGAATTTAATATCTTTTACATATAAAAGAAAAGGAGATATTGGTTTCTTCGGTTTTGATGGAAGAATTGTTTCATTTATATACTTTAATACATTTTTTGATGCATTTTGATAGAAATTTAATAAACAATTTCTAAAGCAATGAAAAATTAAAATTATGTATAATTAAAATTAATTATATTATTATATTCTATTAAAATAGAAATTAATAAAATTTTCATTAAAAAATTTTTCATCTGTGAGACAAACGATTCATTTATGAACTATTTTTAAACAATTGTATAAAATTTTTTTCTATCATAATACTTGTTTGAATCTAATTTATTTTACCTTGTGCACAATAAAGTTTCCGAGCGTGTAAAATATATAAATTTTCTATAGCACATCATCTTATATATGTATATATAATTATATACAATTATTGTTTATTATTATTTTTACTGTTTCATATTTATTTTGAACAAAAATAAAGCTATTGAATACAAATATAAGAATATATATATATATATATGTAACAAAAACAAAAAATAAAAATACAACACGTGCAAAACTTTCAAATCTCAACGATCCAATTAAATTGTCAAATTTAGACTACATTGAGACTAAAATTATCGACACAAATTATTATTTACAGATCTATAAAAAATAATTTATTCAACAAAAAATCATTTTATATATAATATTTTACATATAATATAAAAATAATTATATTTTTCAGATTAATTAAAAAATGTAATTAGATACTTATAAGAAATATCTTAAGTGATCACCATGAACTTAAAAATATAAAAAGAGAGATAATTAATATAGAGTAGAGGAAAAAACCATAAAATATAAACACATTAATATGTACATAGTAAATTAGTTGTTCATCAATATGATATTATATGATTCTATTATTTATTACTATATTATTATTATTTATTGCTATTACTATTATTATTAGTAATTTGCCGTTATTTAACTAGTTACTTTTTATTTATTACTATTATTATTACTAACTTACCATTACTTAACTAAGCATTTTTTTTAGATATATTTTCACACAATAGTAAATTATAACTTTTATGATTATAACATTAAATATCATAATTTTTTAACACATGAAAATTAAATTTTATATATTATTAAATATAATAAACTATATCGTTTATTATATCATGATATGAAAGTTATGTTTTTATTATATCAAATATGTAATTGAATTTTATAAATTATAATTTTCTGTCAGATGAAAACATTTTATTTAAGACAATGAAAAGTTCTTTTATTGATGGTTTTAAATAACCGATTTATTTTTTCTTAAATTTTTAAACAAAAAAATTTTCAAATCAATTAATTATTTTAAATTTCATTTATTTATAAAATTAAATTTAATTTATTTAATATAATATAAATTTATAATTTTATAAAATAATTTGAAATGAAACTTTGTAATATAAAATAACAACAATTAAATTTATTGAATTGTTAATAAAATATATAATATTTATTTTTATTGTTAGATTACTTCTTATTGTTTTTATATTATGATTAACATAAAAAACAATATTTTGTGAATGATTTTTTATTAAAATTTCATATTAAAAATATTAAATAAATTCTTAATTAATTCTCAATTTATTTATTCATGGTATCGAGATAAATACATAATAAAATAAAATAAAATTCTTTATAATTTCAATGACATTGATGTCATTGATCATCTTAATAAATATCATTAAATTTTAAATAGATAAATTAGCGATGTTAATAATTTTCATATATAAACATATCACAATCTGAATTGTATTGATGTATATCATTATTATCATCATATTAAAAGCGATGCAATCATTTTTATATCGAAGTTGACTTTAGTTGCTTTAGTGATTGATTATTCATTACAATTATATATTATATACTATTTATATAATTTGATGCCGGCAAAAACAACACAATTTCATATTGTTTAAGATAAAAAAATATTAATGTTTAATTATTAGATTTAAAGATAGTAGATTTATAGATTATTAATATTTTTGTTTAATAAAAAAAGTTATAAACAATGTTGATAAATCAAGATAGTACAGAATCTGAGATTCAACAAACATTTTCAGATTTTGAGGTTATGGGTGCGTAATAATTTAAAATATTAATGTTTATTGCAATTATATGTGTATAAATATAATATTTCTATTACTAGTGTATAATATAATGTCGCAATATAGCAATAATAAATATATTTCAAATCTAATATAAATCTAATATAGAATATATATATATATTTTTTAATAATTACATATATTTCGATAAATTTTAATTAATAAACTTGTTATTCATAAAAATTTTAATAACAAAAGAATAAAATAATTATATATATATTATATTGTATGTTATATTGTGATAAGATAAATATAATAAAAATTATATATATATATATTATATGATTCTTATTAATTATCAAATTATTTTTATTGATAATTTGATAATTATTTTTATTGATAATATTGATTTAATAACAAATTTATTAAAACTCCTTTCACTTGCAAATAAAATTATTTAAAAATATTTCAAATATGAAATACATTTTTCTATTTATTATTACAATGTTTATATTTAAAAAAAAAATTTTATGTATTTTTAGATTAAATAATTTATTTTTATTATTTATTATATAATTTATTATTTAGTTAAAAAATCATTTAACTTATTCAAAAATAATTATATATTTATATATTTGAAAAAATTAATATTTATAATAATAATAATATAAATTTATATTGAATTTATTTTTTTTTAATTATTTTTTTTGTCTAAATATTATAGTTTATATATTATTGAATATTTTTACAAACTTTTTTATCATTGTTTTTTTTCAGATGATTTATTTCAAACTTTAAGTTCTGAATTAGGTATTCCTGTATTATTTGATGATGAAATACCTCAAAGAATAGATAATAATGTTGATAATCAAATTATAAAAGATATATATATAGGAGAATCATCAAATAATTTTGAAGAATCAAATATTATTTCACAACAAAATTCAGGTACATCTTTTTTTTATTACATTGATTTTTATTTATTAGCTATAAATTTATAAACTATTTTTATTTGTAATTATATTTATAATTTAACTATAAATTAATGAATTATGATTATAGATTTACATGTAGCTAATGATGTAAAAATGGAAATTAAATTGGAATCTGCAAATTCTCATGAACAATCTTTATCTTCTACACCAAATCAATGTAAATTTAATAGATTAGAATCTCAAGTTGAAAAAAATTCTCCTGCTTCTCTTTGTGATTTTAAGGTATAGTAAAGATACTTTTATTTAAATCAATTGAAATAGTTTATAATATTGATATATTATATCTGTTAATTTGTTGTAGACAATTCTAGAAACACCACCCATTTCTCCCCCGCAAAATATATCCCCACCTATATCACCACAATCAATTTCAAATGTAACTATTGCAAATCAAATAAAACTTATGCCTCTTAAATCACAAGATACAAAAGAAACAAAATTTATTCTTTCTGAAAAAAATTTTGCTAAACGCGTTTGGGTTCAACCAAAAAATAATATTCAACTTATTACTGATGGTAAAAAATTTCCTTTAAACAAATTTTTTAATTAATTTTATTTTTGTAATATTTATTTTTCTAAATCACATGTTATTCTTTTATGTACTTCATATTTTCCAGCACAGCCTCAAAATGCTATATTTTTTAATACACAAAATTTTGTTGCACTCACTCAAAAAATTAAACAAAATTATATATCATATCCTTATATGACACATATAACACCAACTAATACAAATAATAAACGAACTTCAGTACAATTTCCATCAATGCAGATAAAAACGGAAACAAATAAAATTCAATTACCACAAGAAAATTGTGTAAAAATTATGGATAGTATAAACAACATATATACATCAGAAACAAATCAAGATATAAATATGATTGATACACCTTTGGTTCTTAACAATGAAGAAATTGGACACACTTCTATAATTATAAAAAAAGATTCAGCTGTATCTAGACCAGTAGTAATTAAAACAGAAAATTCAAATTATACTCCAATTGTTATAAAAAATGAAATACAAGATGTTAATTTTACTGGACGACAGGAATGTGAAATAAAAGCATTGAAAAGACAGCAAAGAATGATAAAAAATAGAGAATCAGCTTGTCTATCACGAAAAAAAAAGAAAGAATATGTATCTTCATTAGAAAAACGAATTCATGAGTTACAACAAGAAAATAAACAATTAAAAATGGTAAAAATTACATAGTGAAAATTATATTTAATAAAATTATGTTTAACTTTATAAAAAATTATATTTATTATTAGGAAAATACAACTTTAAAACAAAAACTTTCATCATTGGAACATACAAATACTAATAATAAATTTAAAAGTCTAAATCTCAATGCTAATAAAAAGAATGTTGCTATTCTTTTAGGAATGATCTTTATGGTATCTTTAAATGTTAATGGTTTTAAGTAAGTTTATAATAAACTTTTTTTTTATTTATTTATCAAAATATTATTACGAATTATAATATGATATTATGATATAGATAATTAATTAATGAATAATATAAACAAATAATTTAATTTAAATCCATAGAAAAAAAATTATTTTTTAGAGATATATTTTTACAAAGTAATCAATTGGATATATTACCTACTGATCTTCCAATCAGCACACATTATACAAAACATGGAAGAACATTACTTTGGTCATCTAAAGATCAAACTCAGGAAGAAGATGAAGATAATTTTCGTAAAAATATGTCAATTCCACAACCGATGTGTTTGATGCATATTAATCAAAGTGAATCAATTCGTTTAGATTATGAATTAAGACGATGGATTGGTGGAAAATCTTATCAATATAATTGGACTACATTAAAAAAAGCAACATTAAATACAAGATTTATAGGAAAATTTTTATCATCTTCTCATGCAATGAAAACTAAAATTAAACAGAAACATAACATATCAGAAGAAAGTAAACCTGAAATACTTCAAAAGACAACTGACCCATCAATATCAAATGCAATTGAAATATTTTCTCCAATAATAAAAGAACATGCTTCTTTATTCGAAGCCTTAGGGAGAAGAGATGATACCTTTTATGTAGTTTGGTTTAGTGGAGAACATTTGCTTTTGCCAGCTTCAAGCAAAAATAGTACAGGCAGACCAAGAATGTCATTAGTTCTTCCCACACTTTCTATGAATGGTAATAATTTTTTACTTAGGCTATATGTATTATGAAATAGAAAAAAAATTCATTCGATATTCTTTTAGAAACATTTTCAACGCCTGCAAAACATATAACTATGATGCAAATTGATTGTGAAGTTACTAATACCCAATTATTACATTTACAACAATCAATCATACCTGATCATTTAAAAAATATTAATAAAACTGAAAATCATACACATCAACCAGATGATGAATCAGATGCAGTAGCAGCGAATGTAACTAAAAATTACAAACCATATTTTATCAAAGAGACTAATCACAAAATGTTTCATAAAAAAAATTTAAAAGATATATATGTTAATAAAGATAGTAAAAATTATAATAAGTCAATTGCTTATATCTTAAAGCAGAAATTTATTTCTGAATTCGATTTAGAAGAGGTAAAAACTGTACTGCTCAAAGATTTAAAAAAAACAGATTCTAGTACAAAATTTATGTCTTCGAAAAAAAATGGAAGTGAGTAATAGTTATAGTATTTAAAAAAGAAGTTTGTGTTTTTAACAATAAAAAATAATATTACATAGCTATTATAAACCAGTAAATATATATATTCTTAAAACTAAACAGAATTCATGTATTTTATATTTTAAGAATCATATATAGAATATTTTTGAAAATATGATTAAGGGTCGATTCTATAAATCAAAATGGTTATAAAAGTTGATATAAAATTGAAACTGTTGATATGAAGTTATTTTTCAAGTTATAAATGATTTAATTTTAACTTATTAGCAATATCATATCATAATATCACTAGTTAAATCTTTCAATCAAAATTAATATTTTCATTTTAAATACAAAATAGAATAATATTAAAAAATCTTTTATTTATAAAAATATTTTGATATGTATTATCTCTATGCAATATACTATTAGTATATTATATATTATATACTTCTAAAATAAAATTAAATTATTTATAATTTATAATTTAAAAAATAAGTTTTTAATCAACATTTTTCTGAATTCTGAATTTTTCTATATATATATAGAAAACTGGCTTAGTTTGGAATTAATTTTCGAATTAAATAACCGTAAATATATCTTTGAAAAATATATATTATTTGTAATTAAGATTAGATTTTGAATTAAAGTTTAATTCATATCGAATTTGAGTATTCCAAAAGATTATTAAAAAATAAAATGTAGATTCTCGACGACCAAAATTATAATTGAATTATAATGATACATATTAAATCGATCATCATTCTCTTCAAATTTCGTGTCAATTGGTCATTTATATCTTTCGGAAACGCTATTTTTTTAAAATTTAAATTAGAATTAAATTAAAATATTATTCGGCCATATTCATATCATTTGGTGATCCATATATAATATAATAGTCATCTACATACAGATAATGTATAGCTAAGTAATAGTATATATACAAATTTAAATCAATTCAAAAATTCTATTATATTATAATTATTATATATATTTAAAAACTTATATTTATTTATTAAAAATCTTAGAATGATATCTCTCGATTATAAAAAATATTTTTGGATATCTAAAATAGATATCTAAAATGATATGTATAAAGAAAAATTGTTTTTAAAAGAAAGAAAAATATAATTATAAAATATAATAAAAAAATATATTATATACATATTTTAAAAGATCATCAATCGATAAAAAGCACTTTATTCTTAATAATTTCATTAAATATTTGAATATAGATTTGAATATAGATATAGAAATTATAATCTTTCATATTGTCTTAAAAATATTTTATATATTATGAATATATATATATACATATGTATGTATATATATAGTATATGTGTATAATATACATGTCTAAAAAAGTCTATAAAGTCTATCTAACTTTTTTGTTTTTAAAAGCACTTCATTTTTGTTATTATATTTTTATAATTGATGTCAAAATATTGTCAAAATATATATATATATATTTTGCATAATTTCGAAATATCATATGTTAATAGTATTATGTTATTTATAATGTACGCTATGATAAAGTTGCTTAATCATATCATCTTAAAAATCAATATCATTTAAATGATTTAAATGATTTTTTTTTAATTCTTCTTAAAAAAAAATCAAACAATCAATAAATAATATTGAATCTAGCAAATATTATCTTTGAAGTAACAATTTAAAAGAAATTTCAATGTTGAGATTCTAAGTTTTATAATACTATGCTATAATAATCATGATTTTTTTTTTATTTTTTTAGAAAAATATTTATGACACACTTGTTAACAATATTAATAATCTTTGATCTATATCTTTGTTAATTATAGAAAAGAAATTACAAAAGTAAACTCAAATTTGTTTCTTACAAAGATATTTTTTATTATATATTGCTTATATATAAATATAAGGAATTTATTTAATTAATTTGATAAATTTAAATTAAAATAATATTAAAAATTGTAATTATTTTTATTATTTTTTTGTCACAAAAATATTCAGATATATTAAAAATTTATAAAAATAATGAAAATAGAAATTTTTTATAAAAATTAACTTTGATATTTTTTTAATTCTATAGCATGTTTTAAATAACTTAAAATATTAAAAATTATTTTTTAATTTATTTTTATTAACAACATATTATATATTTTATTCCTATTTTAAACAAATTTATCATTTTTTTCGTATTGTTCTTTTTTGTTTATTGTTTAATTGTTTGCATAATAAATATTTTATAAAGATTTATTAATTTAATTTGATAATTTAAATATATTTGATTATATTTGTAAATTAAAAATGTGTTTCTTTTTGATTTATTTTGTATTGTAAATAAAATTGTAATTAAAATTACAATATTGTAATTAAATTTTTTTTTTTTTGATATATACAATATTGCAAAAGATATTGCAAGAGTATATAGATATAATAAACAAAAACAAAAAAATTTCTTGATTTGATATGTACTAAATCAGTGTTTCTTTTATAATTAACAAAGATACATTGTTAAAGTTAAATATATTAATATCCAGATATTTTTATATAAATATACAAATATAATATACAATTATTTTTATGAATAATTGTATTCATAAAGTTTGATCGAGCAATACTACTTTACACATTTTATATTTCACTTTATATATCAATATACTAAAATATATTAAAAGTAATACTAAAACCGTTTCATATTTGGAAATTGACTCAAGCAAAATATAATATAAATAATAAAAAATGAAGTATCCTATTGAAAACTGAAGATCTTTACAAGAATTTTAATGTCATTTCAAAATCAAATAATACCATACCATGTTTTGATATATAATTTTCATATTAATCATTTCTTCATATCTTTCATATATTTCAATTTATATAAAAATCTTATATAAAATTCTTATTTAAACTTCACATGTACAGGTACAATCAATGCATATAAATATATATACATATATATATAAATTATGATAATAAATATTAATATACAGTATAAATTAATATCTTATTTTTTATGAAATGATTGATGATATTTATAAATTAAAAATGTGTTTCTTTTATTTTGTATTAGGATTTTTTATTTTTTGGGTATATATTGCATTTACATATGATTTTATAATAAAGTATGTAGAATATTGTATTGTTCATTCAAGTTTTATTAAAATTAAAATTCAATAATTTTAATATAAAAGTGCTTATATCAAGATTTAAGATTTTATTCAAATATAATACAAATATAAAAATTTCATACATACAATATATTTAAAAAATTCGAAAACTTAAATATCTAAAAAAATACAAATAATAAGAAAATATGTTTTAGACAAAAATTGTTTGATATAAAAAAATTAATAGTTTAATTGTAATATTAATAATTTAAAATATTAATAGTATTTTATAGATTGAGAGATGATATGAAAATCAATTTTAATTTTTTAAAATGGAACTATATAATTTTTATTAATCAATATTATTTTTATATTATCAATGAAATTTATTATTTCTTATAAAAAAATATTAAACTATTTCTGTCGAAAAATCTTTAGTTTAGGACTTATTTTAATTTAAAATTTGTAAAACTTATATAAAAGACAAGAAAAGTAATAAAATATCATTTCGCATGTTTTTTGATTTTCATATAATAAATTTTATAAATTTCAAGTTATAATATTTTTTAAACTTTTTCATATTAACATATTAACAAATAAGTATTTTTTTTATAAGAAATAATGAATTGCATCAATTGATACAATAAGAATTACACAATTCCATTTAAAATTGACTTTTATATAAATTTCTATTAATCTATAGAAAAAAATATTAATACTGCATAATGTATTTTTTTGTACAAACAATTTTTATTTGAAATATTTTTTTACATCATTCATATTTTTTCAGATTTGAGCATTTCCAGTTAAACTGAACATAAGTAAATAATGTGTGTATATTACTTACAATTTAAAAAAATAAAAGGACTTTTATAATAAGATTAATATGAAAATAAAATTTTATTGCATTAAAAATTAATAAATAGATGTATTTTGTTTTACATATATATATTTACTTAAAATTTAAAAATACAAATATTGATTATTTTAAATTTGGCATAGAACCTCCTAAATAAGTTTTTAAATCCGTTATTGTAGATTGTATCAATTTGGCTTTTATAAATGATTTCCCAAGTCTTTGATGAGCTGTGTATCTGTGACATCCACCAAAAGAATAATAATAATCACCCCCTAAAATAGGTTATAGGAAAAATATATTATATAAAACTAGAATTACTGAAAAAGTAATATGATTTTATGATAGAAATAAATCAATTTACAATAATATAAGATGTTAATATATTTGTAAGATAATGATTCTTTTACTTTAATGATTCTAAGAAATTGATACCAATATCGCTATATAAAAATATCAAATTTATTTACTAAATTATAAGCAATTGAAGTTGTATTAAATACAATAAAATAAAAATAGAATAAAATCTTCTTATCTTCATTACACCGCCATATTTCGTCTCGCTCATTTAATATGAATTTAAATTGTTTATAACTTAATAAATGAGATTCAATTGATATTTTTATATATTTTTTGTTTGTTTTTATCTTTAAAATCGACTTTTTAAAAATGTCTTGCGAATATTATTAACATCTTCTCTAATCTTTAAATCATTTAAACCTTATTATAAAATTATTATATAATTCATTAGTAAATGTTTTTTATATTTTTTGAGAATTTATGTATGTTGATAATTTTATAAATCGTTTCAAAAATATATAAAATATTTTTATATTTTTGTTAAAATTTCATTTAAATCTTTTTTAAATTCATATAATTTGATTGTAACATATTTAATTGAAATGCTTAATCTACCGCGAATCAAAATCGTATAAAATACATAAAAATATATTTCATGTGATAAAAAAATTTATAGATAATTTGAATAATTTGAAAATTATTATATATATATATATAAAACTTTTTCATACTTTTTCATATATATATTTATTGTGTAACAATAGGAAAAGAATGAATTTTTTTAAATATAAAAAAATTCATATGTAGAAATTTATTTTAAGTTTTGCTTAAAATAATTTAATATATTGTTGAGTGGCCTTAACTATATTCAATGGTATTATTCAATGCAATTATTTTGATACTGATTTTACCAATTTTTTTGTAAAAATTAAATCGAATTCCATTATTTTATTTTTCTAATATTTTTTTAAAATCGTTTTATTGAAATTATATATATAATATTTGAATGAAAAAGATTAAATTATATTAATTTTTAATAAAATTAAAATTATAAAAAATTATAAAATTTTAATTTTTAATTCATTCCGAATATTTTCTGACATTTAAATCATATGACTGAAGAATATATTTAATTACTTTTAAACTATCATATAATAGCTATTTTAATAATATGTGATGATATGTTTTTTGGTTTTTGTTATAAAATTTAAAATTATTTAAAATTCTTAATTTTTTGTCATCACTTTTCAAATTTTTTTTTAATAAAATATTTAATAAATATTTAATTAATAAACAATAATATTAATTAATAAACAATAATATTAATAATTTCTCCAAATTATCTATTTTAATAGATATACAACTCCAAGCTATCATTCCAGATATATTACATTAATTAAGCTTCATTTTTAATTATTATATTATAATATCTTTCCAAAAAATATATGAAATAAATATATTACATAATTATGAGATATTTTCCAATAATAATTTTATTTTTTTCGTATTTAGAAAAGTTCATCTTTAAATATTAGAATTAACTTTATAGATATAAAATATAAATGTATACGTAATATATATATATTTTTTTTTCAAATCATTTTTTCCTAATTTTTTTTATCATATGAAATATATTTTTATATGTGATATATTGTATATTCATTTCTAAAACAAAATTCATTATTTCATTCAAGTAAAATCGAAAAATTTTTTGTTATTTCTTATTGCTGTATGTTTCCAAATATTTATAACAAACATTTATTTATAAAAATATTTTTTCCAGAGTAAAACAATAATAGAACTATTTAGGTTTTGTTTCGATTTGCAGGCTATATTTATTTTTTGCAACAGATTATCCATACCGAAATTAGTTTATTCCACACTATTAATGATGATTAATAAAAATTTGTTACTCGCTTCTTACATTTATTAGTAAAAGAAATTATATAATAATAATAAATAAAATATAAAAAATAATAAAATTAAAATTAAAGAAACGAAAAATGCGAATTAAATAACAAAATGTACATATTAAAGGAGCATTTATTTTTGTTGTCTCGAGTTATTTATATATATATATATATATATATAACTTAT